TTCTGCACAGGAACCAGATAGGTAGGTAGGTTGCAAGGTTGAATGACAACTGAATTGGTTGATGAATAATATTTTTGCAGACCTGATTGGAGAAGGAGTGGTGTGCAGTTAGTGGACTCTATAAGTAAATGAGCTCACTTCACTTTAACCAACACCACAATCACAGCACTAGGTGCTGCATGGATTACCTAGACAAGTGGTATCTCATTGTGGCCCTCAATTTGTGGCCAAGTTCACTTGAAAACTGTCTCATTTACTGGCAATCAAATTGTCCCCCACTACAGCATATCATCCTCAGGCTAATGGTCAAACTGAATGGGTCAGCCAAGAGTTGGAACAGTACTGAGGGTCTGGATCAATGAGCTTCTCCCATTAGCTAATTTAGTCACAATAATGTGCCTCATGCCAGATGTGTAGCAGACCCCATTTATGCCAGACACAGGCAGTCACCCTCATATGGACTTGAACCACACCAGACTTCCTCCTATCTTGAATCTGTTAATGAATTCAAAGATTGAATGGCCCATGTACTGGAAGAGGCAAAGGCAGCTTTCACTAAGGCCAAGAAGGGTATTGTACAGTATTACAATCAGCATTGAACACCTGCTCCTAATTACAAGGTTGGAGATAGAGTGTATTCAGATGCTAGTGATATCAAAACCACTATACTATCAGTCAAACTATACCATTGCAATTTGGGGTCCTTTACTGTGCAGGCCAAAGTGGGTCATAATGCTTATCATTTACAACTCCCCAACTCCTTGCATCATCTTCATCCAGTGTTCAATGTAGTTATGCTGAGCCTAGCACCCTAAGATCTGATTCCAGGATGTCAATGCTCCAACTCTAGTTGCCAAATTCTATCAGGAAAACCCAGGGGCCACATGTCACATCAGAGCTGTGCAATTTGAACCTTTGCCATTCTGTTGAGTCCTTCACTGAACTCAGCATGTGAAGGTGACAAGTCTTAGAGAGGGGTTGATATAAGGGGACATTTAAGTCCTTGTATTTGCTGTTTCAGTATTGTTTCTATATATTTTAATCTCTCTCTTTTCCATTATTTTATAGTCTCAGATCCCCTCCTAGGACTATTTGTCCTCTCATAAATTCCCCTGACTGACCCATTCCCTAGGAGATTAATTAGTATTATTTCTTGTAATTTTCCTGTGAATTTCTGATGCTTCTAGGAATATGTCCAAGGTAGAGTAAATAGTTAGTACCCATTAGGGTGAGCTGTCATTCTATTTTTAGACACCCCATATCTTGAAGCACCCAGCAGAGGCCCTCCCCTTTATCCTTTTCTCTTTGGATATCCCTCTGCTAGCCTTGTGTGAGTACCACAGGTCCTGTTGAGGTGGCCCTTACAGGGAGTTGGATGGGGAAGTAGCTGTAGTAGTCATTTTGAAGTATCACCTATGTGTAGTGTAGTGTGGGGCCCAACAACCTGTGAGAAATAAGACTGCTAGATACAAAATAATAACTAGATAAATGCAATAGGTAAAGGAACTAAATAAGGGTCAATAGCAAGTATCTCACCTCAGTATTTACATAGTGGATGCCAAATAGTTGAGGTGAAGCTAACTAGGATGGCTTGTTTTTTTAGCTATCTAGGAACAAAAGAGAATTTAGTAACTAAAGAAACAATGCACAAAAGGACAAGTAAGATCAAGGGATATGTGGTGGCCATTGGTATTGACCCTGCAATAGCTCCCAGTGTACCGGACTATAACGTGCTTGATAATCCAACAAATGTGAGTGCGAGAAATAAAGCGATACTGTCTCCCCGTCTCCATTCTCTGACAGTCGCAAGCCTAATGCGCGCAATGTGGCACTGTAATCGGTCGATTTTTTCTTGCCATGATTAACGCGTAAGTATGGTCACATGCTCTTATAATAAGGCTTACAGCGGTGAAGCAAGTAACAAGGTTGTGGCCATTCTGACTGCAGCACATGGAGCTGAGATGCTAACCGAGGGCAAAAATGATCGTGAGAGCCATACGAACAAAATTGTTTAAAATGTGAGTGCCAGAAATAAAAGCAATACTGTCTCCCCGTCCCCAATCTCTGATAGTGGCAAGCCTAATGTGCGCAATTTAGCGTGTGATCGGTGGATTTTTTCGTGCCATGATTAACACGTAAGTATGGTCACATGCCCTGATAATAAGGCTTGCAGCAGTGAAGCAAGTAAAAAGTTGCGTTGGACTCGACCCGCAAGAAGGTACCAGGCAACGCCCGATTGCCGGGTTGGCCCTATCGCCCCGTGCCGCTAAAGAAAACACCAATAAAACACCATACAGGGAAAACTGCATTGGTTGACACTGATAGCCACTCACACGGAGAAGATTTAAGTATGCAACGGCTGATGGCTCTCTTCACACAATCTCTCAGTTGCATCCTTCTTCGGTTCTGTGCCTGAACGGCACAATCACCATTATTATGTAACGAATTCAATTGACAGTACCAGCATCAAATCTTCGGAGCCGACCACATAGCCAAGTGTCGTCTAGAACAAGGTGCCGCGACTATATTCTAATAATATCATTGACTAGTACCCACACCTCCAGACTGGATTCACAATGACTAGTGTAAGTCCTTCCATAAACGTCGGAAAGGCGTCAAGCGGTCATAATTTCCTAGATCGTCTTTGTTTAGTCGAAGAGCGACAGAGAATGTACACAAGTCAATCAATTCGTCGCCATCTAGGAAAATTGCCCCACGTTTTGAAATACATTTTACTTGTGGATCCAGGCATTAGCTGTTGATTACTTGGGGAACGAAATCCAATAATAGTCGTGTGATCCGGTTACGGAAAGCAGACCAGGACACAAAAATGATGCTTCTCCGGCAACCTGGACCAGTGTTTGCACACGGCAACACATGTTTTCCGGCAACGATGTTATTTCAGTGTTGTTTTACCGAACTTCTATATTATATTGGCGTGATGCAGGCTGACCTGTCAAAGTACATTATCCGATCTCATGACCTGAAAGACTTCTCCTTATTCTGATTGCAAAATAGCCGTTGATCTTCTCTCTCTCAAGTATAAGGGAGTTTCTTGACCAAATCAAATTTCCATAAACATGTGAGCAGAAATAGTTTTATGGTAAATATTATGCAGTACTGCCATGACCGAATACAGATAATAATGCCTCTATGGCTTGTTGAACTTGTCGGCTTGTATATCCTGTTGAGCCTAATCCTCAATTCGTTATTCGGTTCTATCGTTATGCGAAGACAGACGCATCCGTGGCTGTCAAAGGTCGTTTGTTCCTTACTCAGGTACTCTTCCTCGTGACGAGCTGCATGTTAAACGTTACGCCGGAGTGCACGCATGCAATATGGAAAAGAAACTAAATTATGAAAATCATAAAAAAGGGGTGAAAAACCGGATAGCTATACAGGATTCGGAACCTATAAAGAGCCTACCTCTGCACCTTGTTTCTGCAGTTCAATAACATTCACTGAACTACTCAGCTACTTCCCTTCGCTCACACTCGCAGTCAACATGTTCGCTAAATCCATCGTTGCCCTTGGATTCTTCAGTATCCTCGCTGTCGCCGCCCCCAACCCCCCAGAATCCCAGTGCGACACCGGTAAGCCCAATTAAATATCCAGACTGTATTTAGCCTCATATTTGACTCGCAATATTGTAGGAGCTCCCCAGTGCTGCACCGCTGTTGGTGCCGCCTCCGACAGTGCTGTCATCGCTGCCCTTGGCGTCCTCTCCGGGCTCCTTAACGGAATCACAGGTATCGTTGGAATAGGATGCCTCGATATTGTGTCTGTCTTTTCGCAGTTACTCCCTTTATTACTATTATTTAACCAATAACTATTTCGACAGTGCTGGTGTCAACTGTGCCCAACAACCCGTCTGCTGCACTGGCAACGAGTTTAACGGACTTGTGAGTTCCTTTATTACATAGTCCTGTTTTAAGATTTTCATGTTATTATAATAATAGATCAACATTGGCTGCTCCCCTGTCTCTCTTTGAACGTTGGGGTTTCTCATACCTTCTATGTGAATCAAGTTATCGGTGGGCATTCAATGTATGTATCTGCTATGTAGTAGCTATTGTCTACGTTAGCTCTACATGATTGATTATATAAATGATATTGCCACTAAATGTGCGAGAATCGCAGGAAGTATTGATCCAACGTCGGGATTTGGGAATGTCTACACCCATTATGTAGACTCCCTAGACTCCCTAGATCTATGGTAAGCTTGTATACCGAGTAGTAAAGGATCTCGCGAAAGGTGTGTGTCTAGCCGTGTCTAGCCGAGCTAGCTAGCTCTCCTAGTAGACAATATAGACGTCATACTTACTAATCTTCCCACTTTCCCGATGAAGTGTGCAGCAAAGAACAAAAAGTTCAAAAAGAAAATGGACGTTAATATAGGACCATGCTTGGCGAGTGGTAATGACTGATACACCAATAGTTAATAGTTATTAAACATTCAGGGTGTTGAATGTGTAGAAATGAATAGTCAGACTGGGAATTGAATCCAGGGCTTCTGCATATATAGCAAGGGTGTTATCAATTACACTACCTGACCCTGGGAAACATGCTAGTACTGAACAATATTATTGTTGAATTTGGGCTTACGCGTCGCTCACTCGGAGCCGACCGGTTGCTATATAAGGTAGTCGACCATAGTAGAAACACCTCAGTCCGTTACCTTACCTACAACGTGACTGAGGTGAGTTAAGGTCCTAAGCTACTCGCCTTACTGTAACTAATAGTTGTTTATTAGTTAAACTACTATTAGGTACATAATATATCAGTCTGTTACCTTACCTACAACATGACTGAGTTAAACTACTATTAGGTTCTTGAGGTTCCTTTTTTTCAACAATTATGTATATGCAAATATAGGTCCTCTCTGGCTCTTTTGTCCAGACTTGTTGACTATACCATACAAAAATATAGCTGTTCACTCTACACACAGAAACTATAGCACATGTCAGGGCCCATAACCTGTTAAACATGTAGAAAATAAATGGGCAGACTGGGAATTGAACCCAGGGCTTCTGCATATATAGCAAAGACATTACCAAATACACCACCTGACCCTGGGAAACAGTGCTAGCATTACACAATCTAACACAAGGAGTGAACAATTTAATCAGGAGCCTTACTTAATACTAACTTGAGGCATTGTATGATGAAATACAGCCAAAGAAGCAAAAACAACTTTGAGGAATCCTTCAAAACCAAAGGAAGTAATTAAGGACAACAATACTACATCCAAGCAAAAAAGGAAAGCCCCAGTATTGGAAATGGAGGGGAGAAACAGAACTCAGTGGGGATATAGGAGAATCGTAGGATATCTTCACAGTGACACTGAATCCCTTCAAAAATGGGAAAGAAAATAATTCAAAATTAAACCAAAATTCTCAATTACAGGAACAGAATATTGTTTATTGGGAGTGTTGCTTAGGAGAGGATGGATTGAGCCAGTCAGATCATTCAACTTTTATTCTCCAAGACTGCGACCCAAAACTTGAAATGCTAAAGGTATGGTCTTCCATTCTGTATAATGTTTTATTAATAATTTTTAGACTGACAGATACTTCCATGTTCAATATTTACCTATATCTGCATCAGAAGCCTCATTATCCTGTGACTGTGTGTGAGGAGTATGCTTTTACCACAGTTTCATTATGGTAAAACACTCCTTTTATTTTATTTATATTTTACACATTTTATTCATATTTTTCTATCCTTTATATTCTTTGAATATTGCACCATTTTATTAGTTCAAAGCTTTGTGTATACTTGTGGGTGCACTTGGCACCAAATAGAACTCAGACACACTTTTACCCAAGAACCACCACTCGTAAGACATAAACTAGGTCTACTACAAGTGGTGATCAGGGTAACGTGTCAGCTACTACATAGGTAGCAATATCTGAACTATCTAACACTTCTGGCCTTGAACTGTAACAGTTGAGGCCTTCACTCGATCCATTGCACTCTTTGACTACTGCATCATCTCGTGCTCTCTCTCTCACTTTCTCTTATATTGCACCAAATAGGTCAATATTCTTCCTTTCTACTCATTTCTTCATATATAGAATGGTCAGAACTTCCACCACTCTTCACACTGTGCAGGCAATAATTGTATCCATACAACTATTCTCTCTCAGCACATAAATTTCATTCTATCTATGGAGCTTGAGCCCAATGCACCTTACCCCACTGCATACCTTGTAGCTGAGACAAAGGGGAAGGACTGCTTTATTTTCTCAATCCATGGTTCAACTGGGGAAGCACAAACTGGTGGCAAGTGGGTCTTTGTGTCATTAACAAGAGATGGGTCATGGCATTGTCATTCCTGCACAACAAGGTGCTTTTGTCACCACAAACCACTAGCTCAGGAATATGCTCACAGTGCAGGGATAATCAATGAAGCCCACCAATTAATTTCACCAGAAACAGGGATAGAAGATGTTGAAGAAGAATCAATAGGAGAACCATAATCTTCTCCAAAAGTATCTGGAGTTAATTTAAAGCCATCCAGGATGGCAATTCCAAATCCCAGTGTTCACAAAGTAATACATAAAGGAGCTAACTGCCACCAAAACCCCCTCAGCATCTGTCAACCTTACATTCCAGCAACAAGAGTTATATCCTGTTATTTCAGAATTTTTGAAATTCTACATCTCATTATCTGATTCTAAAAGAATTGTTCCAGTCAGGGAACTATTATGCCATGTGGGTCTCTTTCATGGTTTCTAGCACAAATACTATGAACTGACAAGTTGAAGATTGCTGCAGAAGATATCATATTTCAGCTTGTTCCTCTCACAGCAGTTTCTCTTCTACAAGAATTAGCTGTGAAAAAGATCCCCCCACCACACTTACAATTATGGTGTCCAGCAATGGAGAACATTATATTGTCATACACTGGGGAGCAGTTTCCAGAACCCTTGTTCAAGGTTGCTCAGTGGTTTTATGACCATGCACAACAGGTTTATAGCAGCCTTTCACTTCACACACCCTCTTTTCCCACAAATATAGCAAGTCATCTAGACTGGAGAGTCTCTGGAAGCTGGTATGGTGGCCCACCAATTCAGGTGTGACCATCTTATCCAGGGATACCAAGAGATGGTTTGACAGAGGCAGAAATTATGAAGGAGGAGACTGAATGTGGAAAATATTATGGCCAATACAAAAAGGCTCATTTAACTGGAGGGCTGATGATTCTCTGGTGTACCCATTCAATTGGGCTAGGTTTTCATATTACAGTGGGGGACAAAACCGTTCCAATGATTTTTTATATGTCAAGGAATGTTGAATAACTCAATGAGTACTTGACCAATTGACCTGAAATTTTTAATTTAGGTAGTCATATATGTTGGCTATATACCCTAAGAATTCTATGACATAAGCATTATTTGTCATCAAACTATAAATCAAATACTAATGCAATCTCATTGGAACAGTTTTGTCCCTGTCACATGATTAACACATAACCTTATTGATTATCCACAAATAAATGCAAATAAAATCATGTGACCTGTTCAAATTGTGTATATATACAACTGTTCACTTTTCCAAGTGATAGCATCCCAACAACCCATCAGTTTACATCATGAGAGCTCTCACTCCTGCTCAACTTGATCGTGTTCTTACTCTACATGACAAGGGCAAGTCTGCACATGAAGTAGCTGTTACCACTGGTTGTTCTGTCTCTACTATATCCAGAATTCACTCTAAACATTCTTCCTCCCTCTCCAAAGCAGCCAGAGGTCATCCACACAAACTTTCCCCCTCTGATACCCATTACATCATCCAACAAATCACTTCCCAGAAGATTGACCATGCCACTCAGGCCTCTAAAGTCCTACAAGATATGAATGGGGAGTCTATCTCTGCAAGAAAAATTCATAGGGAACTCAAGAAAGCTGGAATGAAGGCTGTGGTGAAGAGGAAAAGCCTAAACTTACAAAAAGGCATAGAAGGGAGAGGCTGGACTTTGCACTGGCACACAAGGTCTCTGGAGGACTGGAAGAGGGTTGTTTGGTTAGATGAGACTAAAATCAATCATTTGGGGTCAGATGGGAGGAAGTGGGTGTGGAAAAAATCAGGAGAGGGGGTCAGTGATAGGCTGGTTGAGGGCACAGTCAAGTTTGGAGGGGGGAATCTGATGTTGTGGGGTTGTATGTTCTGGGAAGGACCAGGATATGCCACCAAGATTGATGGGAGGATGGATGTTGAACTTTATGTTAGCATTTTGAAGGATTGTTATGACCAGAATTCCTGCTGGACTCCAGGCACTAACTTATACGCACTCGTGCCCTATATGCACCAATTGTCAGTTTACTGGAATTCCCACCAGACTCTGTACATCAGACCTGTCTACGTTCGACTTCGTTACATTGTGTTTCAGTCACCAGAATACCCACCAGACTCTGTCCCTGTCTATGTCCAACCCCATCCCACACATCAGTCACTGGACCCCACTTGGAAAACCCATCATCTCTCTAACAGAGCCCCATTCCCATTTTAGTCAAATGACCTGTCACAATTCGGACTCCACTCCATTCTGTCCCGTTCCTAACACCAAATTTGGTGTTTACTATTCTCATTTTATGTTTTGCTAGTTTTGTTTCATTATTACTGGATTTGGTATGTCATTCATTCCATGATATATATAGTCTGGCAGATGTTGTACATACAATCCAGTCAGAAAATCAGCTTAGATTCCCCCCAGTAATCTAATACATTTTCTGCTCTAAACTCCTACTTGAATCACACCGCTCATGCTAGTCGGAGCCCACAGGCTCCAGCACATCTATCTTATCTATCTCGACTCACGACCCCTCAACCCATGACCTCCGACCTATGACCCCTTGACCCACAAACCCCGCCTGGACCCCCCAGGATTCCTGTCTGCCTGTCTGAAATTGGACAACACAATCTCGTGAGGGCACAGCCTGTAAGCTGAAGCCAAGTCCTACCAGATATCCCATGGGTTTCTCCGGAAACCCGCCATGTATGTACCCTAACAAGGATGAACTTCAAGAATATCTCAAGCATTACAAGAAGAAGACTGGGGATATTGTCTTTCAGCAAGGCAATGATCCCAAACACAAGAGCAAGAAGGCCACCAATTGGCTTAATGGCAGTGATTTTGATGTCATTATATGGCCCCCTCAATCTGCTGATCTTAATCCAATTGAACACCTTTGGCATTACCCCAAGAAGAAGCTACTAGAGTATGAAGTGGAGCCTAGGAGTATTCAGGAGTTATGGGAAAGGGTTCAGACAGAGTGGGACAGGATTCCAGCTTCTATTTGTCAGAATTTGATAGAGAGTATGCCTAGAAGGATTGCAGCTGTTTTGGATGCCAAGGGGGGTTACACCAAGTACTAGATTATATGATTTGTATTAGATTATATACCAGGGACAAACTGTTCCAAATGAGATTGCATTAGTATTTGATTTATAGTTTGATGTTAAATAATGCTGATGTCATATGATGCTTAGGGTGCATAGCTAACATATATGACTACCCAAATTAAAAATTCCAGGTCAATTGGTCAAGTACTCATTGAGTTATTCAACATTCTTTGACATATAAAAAATCATTGGAACGGTTTTGTCCCCCACTGTATGCCCAAGGCAGAGGGCCACAATAATGTCTTCTCAGCAATTTATACTCACTGGCCAGTTGCTCCTAAAATAATTGTATATGATTTTGCATGTCAATTGGCATCATATTGTCTTATTCATGAACCTGGTTATTTTAAATAAACCTGCTTTGTGGTTGATGAATTTCATGCTTCTGATCATACCAAGTGCAGTAGAGCATCCCATGCTGGTTTTGTCATGCAGTATGATCCCCAATTACAAGCTATCAATACCAGTGCCACTGAAGTTGGGAATTCTGGAGCTTCAAATTTTTGAAAAAATGTGTCAGCTATATGACTCAATGCCATGCTATCCAGTATATCAAAGTATATACAGATATTATGAATTGTTACCAAACAATTTATTTAGAGAAGAAAAGAAAATAGTATTTTAGAATATGTACATACATAAATAGATCAAATATATCTTATTT